GGGCTGTTACACAGAGATACCCTGTCTCAACACCCGCCCCCCGCAAGAAGCATGAATGAATGTTTTAGCCAGAATCTACATGGGTTGGTCACAAATGACCATAGCATTTAAATACACTCAGTTGAGACTGGCAGAAGTTGGCCTCCTTTAAATGCCTTTTTAGCTACTGATGGAAGAGCGGATAACTTAAGACTGAACTCACTCTTCATAAAAACCATTTCATTATAGGTCTGAGTATTTGAATACATATATTTCTATTTGATTTGATTTTTTTGTTTGTTTTTCAAGACATAGCTTCTCTATATAGCCCTGGCTGTCCTGGAACTCACTCTGTAGGCCAAACTAGTCTAAAACTCACAGAGATCCGCCTGCCTCTCCCTCCCAAGTGCTGGGATCAAAGGTGTGCACCCCCACGCCCGGCTTATATTTGACTTGAAATAGCCTCATAAATTACTTCTGTTAAACCAAACCAAATAAGGAACATATAAAGCTGTACAGAAACAGTTATCTTTACCTGTCTTGTTCATACTAGAGAATTATGATATTCAAATCTGTGTTTTATTTCTAATGCTCAGGAGTTGTTTGGAATAATTTGATTTTTCAAAAGGACTTAGAATGGTTTCCACACTTTCCCACTCTATGCCTTTGTCTGTCACTGTCGACACGGAACTTGTGTTGGGAACAAGGATCATTGAGTCTAACACTGATGCTGTCATGTTTGCTTGTCCAGAGATTCTGAGTCCTACAGAAGTCATATGGAGCTGTAAGAACACTGGTGGGAATGACATTCTGTTCTGTTTAGACACTCCGCAACCTAATAGCTGTGACAGAAAGTACCATGCGCCCAAGGGGTGGGAAACAGGACTCACTGTTCCTTGTCTATGCAGTACACTCCCTGTTAGCTACTTTAGCACTGGAGGGTAAAAGGATTAACTATTTGTGAGCATCGCCTCATATAGCAAATCTTCCAAAATATGCCTCTGGATCAGTGGTTCTCAACCTGTGGGGTGTGACCCCTTTGGGGGACACATATCAGATATCCCGCATATCCGATATTTACATTACAATTCATAGCAGTACAACATCAGTTCTGAAGTAGCAATGAAATAATTTTATGATTGGGGGGGGTCACCACAACATGAGGGACTGTTTTTTTTTTTTTTTTTTTTTTTTGGTTTTTTCGAGACAGGGTTTCTCTGTGTAGCTTTGCGCCTTTCCTGAGACTCACTTGGTAGCCCAGGCTGGCCTCGAACTCACAGAGATCCGCCTGGCTCTGCCTCCCGAGTGCTGGGATTAAAGGCGTGCGCCACCACCGCCCGGCCTGAGGGACTGTTTTAAAAGGTCGCAGCATTAGGGAGGTTGAAAACCTTGAAATCCAATTATAGTGGTCAGTGTTTCTTTATTAGAATCAGCTCTTCTGAACACGATTTAGAGTAGTGGAGGCAGGGGGTGAACACTGGCCTGACATGGGCAAGGCCTCAGGCTCCTTCCTAAGCTCTGGGAAACAAATCTGTGAAAGCAAGGCTGATGGCCTACACTGGTAATACCTGCTAGTTTGGAGCTTGAGGCCAAGGGTCACAAGTTCATGGCTTAAGTGGGCTACAAACCAAGTTCAAGGCTAGCCTGGAACAACTTAATCAGACCCAGCCTAAAAATAAAAAAAGCCAAAAGACAGAGATACAGATGAATGGTGAAGTATTTGCTAGCACGTACGAGGCCTTAAGTTCAATCCCCAGTACCACAAAATAAATAAGTAAAAATAAAACAATAATAAGAACAGTAAACAACATGAGGCTTTTGAATCTTTATGCACTTGACCTTGGTCTGTGGGGTAGAGAAGGGAGTCAGTGAGAGGAAGCCCAGCATCAGCTCTCCTGCTGTCTACAGGGTGACGTCATTAGGGTTCCCGAACGATCAAAAGACCTCAAGCAAGTGCGGCTGCATTTATTTCAATGAAAAAAAAATGTTTGAGAACTCCACCACCTGGATTATCTGATGGGATGCTTGTGTATTTAGGGAGATAATTTCATTACTGTGGTGTGAAGCACCCAAACCCATTGTAACTGAGTGAGAGACAAGCTCATCAGCGGCCAGGGTAATTGAGTTAACTGATGACTTTGTAGCCAGGTGATGTCATAGATAAGAACACTTGTCTGTCTCCCCCCCCCCCCCCCCCCCCCCCCCGCCACTGTAGGATATTTCTCGGGTGGAAATTTGCAGAATTACTAGCTGTCTTTCAAGCTAAGAGATAAGCAAGGGGGAGACAATTTATAGGTGGGAAAGAAATTAAGTGATTTCGAATGCTCTGAGAATAGTATGGAAAAGAAACATGATAGAATCACCACAAAGGGAGGGAACCTCAGCTGAGAGGACACGAGTTTGGAGCAGCTGGCATTTGAACACCCTCACATTTCTTTCATTATGGGAAGTGTTTTGAACTGCGGGAGGGTTTGGGGTCTTTTCCTCCTGCGTTCATCCAGTAGTTATAGTAATAGCTGTGTCTCCAGAGTGCTTAGCTCCTACTTCTCGAGTAAAGATAACAATACATTTTGAAGAGACTCAAATTGTTAATGTGAAATTGATCCCCAAACTCCCTTGTCCCGGTCCCTCTGCGTCCCCTGGGCCGTGTCTTCTGATTAAAGGCGAGAGAAGGAAACCCTCCCTGGGAAAGTCCCACGGTGTCCAAGAGCGGCTGGCTAGTGGTGTGTTTTTTAATCTTCCTTGTTCTCGGTTCAGTATGTTACAAGTTTTCAGAGCCTATTTTGTTGATTGAATAATTGACCTAAATATGCAAGGAGGCTCACAGAGAGAAGAGGAGAGAGAAACAGGGGAGGATGGGTTCTAGTATTAGCACTGGAACACATCGGATTCAACCAAAAGAAGGTTTGTTCAGTTTCCTCGGCAAGTGGGAGGAACCTGGAGATTATCTAGGTGGGCAGGACAGAAGGTACTCCTGCTGGAGAGGGTGGGTACAAAACAACAGGGCCTTGGGGACAAGCAGAAAGAAAAGTGGCAAATGGGTAAACAATCGTGGGTTTTTTTTTTTTTTTTTTTTTTTTTTTTTTTTTTTTTGTATACACATCAGTTTCTGTGGCTGCTTATCTAAAATCCCCCCTCTTGGATATGCTTGACTTTCTATGTCAAGTTTGCATTGGGGCAGGCTGTCAGCACACCCCCAAACTTTCACATGCCAACAGCTGTAATTAAGGGAGGAGGCCTGATTTCCATAGTCATTACCTGCAGGACTGGAAGGGTAAATGGATCGCTAATTCATTTAGATAGTTAATTGGCCTTCCAGGTTGGGGATCTTAACGCGGCTTTCTTCTTTGCATGTTCTGTTTAGGGATGCGCTGAGTGTAGATTGTGTTGACCGTGGGCCGAAATTCTGCAAACCGGACTCTGGAATTCCAGCTCTTAAAGTTCCAACGAATGCAAAGGAACTGGAGAACACCGTCAAAACATCAAGTAAAATTCTACAGCAAAATCATTAGCCCTTGATTCTCTTTGTGATTCTATTGGTTCTAGTTACGTCGCGCCCCCTTCCTCAGGCAGCACTGTTTCGTACATGAATCACTAGCTTGGTCATCAGGATCATACAGTGATTGTCGAAACTGTCTTAACAGTTCCCACTGAGCAAAGGTTAAGATAGTTCACTCTTGTGGCCATAAACATGGTTAAGGAAAGAGACAGCTCAAAGATCATTTCTAAAAAAAGGGGCAACTACAAGGGATCTTTTCATGGCCTTTGCCAAGTTTCTGGGTTGGCTAATTACTTTTGGTTAAAAAAAATTTGCTATTTTTGATAGTTGCACCTTTCTATTGTGTAAATGAATTGCATAACAGGAGGGCAAAGGCAGTTTACACACTATACACCATACAACTATACAACACACACACACTGGGTATTGGCTGTGATTCTCATGTGCACTAAGCAGCATTTATCCCAATACGACAAATACTGAAGGAACGCAGTGGCTGAAACAGACGATGCATCTGCGGGTGTTTAGTGAATGAATAAGCACCAACCACTCCCTCAGAACAGGAGCTAGGTAGTAGGAAGTGGGAGAACAGATCCAGCCCAGCCTACCCAATACCAAACAGCCTCTGTCCTGGATAGGGTTAATTGTCGCCAAGGGGAAGATGGAAATCAATAACTATAATTGAAAGTCGACTCACTAGGGGCCAAAGGAGTGTCTATGCATGTGTGTGGGAGGTTGAGCAGGGAGGGCCGGAGGGAGGTAAACACCGGTTATAGGGTTTTCCCCAGACCCAGGCTCTGCTTCCAAATTGAGGCTTGTAGTGTAGAAAGGGCTCTCCTGCCCTCGTCAGAGGCGGAAACTGGGTATTTCTCTCTCTTTTTTTTTCTTTTTGGCTTGCTGACTGACACATTTCGCCTCAGGGTTAATGACTAATCCGAATCGAGCGTTAGGTCATTTTGAAAATATGAGCATTACATTATGGCAAAACACAGCCCGAAGAACTGCCATTCTGCTGTTACTAAACCAAAGAGCCGACACACGGCCAACAGCCTTGAGAGCAAGTGGGTACATCGCCACCCTCTTGTCCCCCACACACACACACTTGGTCTACTTCAGGAAACGTAAAATGAAGACGACTGGGTGGCTGAGCAAGACCTTGATTCGAAACTTTTAAAACGAGAACATAACGCATCTCACTTAAACAAAAAAATCTGTTCACCAGGAGGATTCGGACTGTTCGGGCTCCCACTAGGCTGGGACCTCCTAATCGGCCCTCCGGGACTCTGGAAAGGAAAAGTAGAGCCCTGGCGTCCGGAGCCGGGATGCAGGGAAGAAAGTCCGCAGAGTCCCCGTCGTCGCGGCCCCGCCCCCTCCCACGTGTTGCTCCCCCCCTCGGCTCCGCCCCCTCCCACGTGTTGCTCCCGCTCGGCCCCGCCCCCTCTTTTATTCCCCGGAGCTCCGCGCAGAGCTGAAACTTTGCAACTCGAGCGCGCACGCTCTGCGTTCTTCCCCGCCCGGGCGGCCTTGCGACGGTGGCGCAGGAGGTGGGACCGGCTGGCGGGAAGGCTCGGGGCGCCGGCGCACGCGGAGTGGGGACCTCGGGGGTCGGACGCCGCTCGCAGGAGCCGCGGAGGGCCAGCCCAGCTCCAAGTTCCTAGCCCGGAGAGTCCCATGCCTGGACGGCCCCGGCCTGGAGTCTGAGGTCGCAGCCGTGCTCCCGCAGCTGCGGTGGTCACGGAGAAGCAGCTGGATCCCTGAGCGGCGTGTGGGAACTGCAGCTGGACGGCGGTCGCCGGAGGAGCAGCCACATCGGACACCGCTGTCCCGTGCGCACAGGGCCCGGGACCGCGCTCCCCTGGCTGAGCCGCAGCGCGATGGCCCGCTTGACCGCGGCCATGCAGGCTTGAGCGGACGCCCAGGGCGCGCAGGGGACAACCGCGGGCGCAGGCTGCAGCACTCCGCCGCTGACTTCCCAGCCCCGCGGGCAGTGAAGCCGCTTGCCATGGAGCCGGTGACCAAGTGGAGCCCCAAACAAGTGGTGGACTGGACTAGAGGTGAGCGGGCCGTGGAGGACCTTCCGGCGTCCCGCAGCCCGGGAGATGGGGCGGGCCAGGAGTTGGGCACTGGGGTGCTTGGCCCCTCCTGCGGGCGACAAAGCAAACTTCTGCCGAGCGGCCTGTGCGCCCCTATGTGGTGCGCCTGCTCCGTGCGGTTCCTTTCGGTGGGGGGGTGCGCGTTCTGTGCAGCGGATCGGACACCCATATTTACGCCAGGGGACAGTAGGATGGCCTTTCTGTGAAAGATGGGCTGGGCACGCGGGACTAGGGGATTTGGCGCCAGGGGCACCCTCTCTGCCCTGCTCGGGTACCGTGCCGCGACTTGCTGCCTGTCGCCAAGCGCAGAGACAGACACAAGGCGTCTTTGTGTGGGTGATTGCCGCTGGATTTAGTAAAGGCTGCGGGCCCGGGAGCAGTCCGCGGGCGTGACCGGGCGGTTGGGTAGGTAGACGGAGACTCCTGCGGCCAGTCCAGCCTGTCTGTTTGGGTTGGAGAGGGCGAGCTGGCTTTCAGTGCCTGAGAGACTCCCAGCGCCAGGACTCCCGCAGAGGCAGGGACTCAGCTCTGGAGGCGCCAAGACCCCCCCGGGGGCGCAGCATTTTGAGGCCAGTTAAGGCCCGAGAGGGAGCGGAGTGTCTGGAACTACAGTCCAGTTCTGTACAGTGTTCGGGAAGAGGAAACTCAGTGGGTGCTGGGCGGTCCGGCGGGAGTGGAAGGCTCCCTGTTACTTTATCGTTTCTCTCGTGATTGCTAGGGACAGTTGCCAGAGGAGGCTCAACCCTCTTTGTCCTTTTCCAACAGAACAGAGTCCACTGAAACTAACCAGTGGGTTCTCGGGGGGTCCCACCTCCCTACTTCAACTTTTGCTTCAAGTTACTTGCCCCCCCCCCCCCGCGCACCCCCCACTTCTATTTGGTGTTGCAGGTGAGGAGTGGCACCTCGTCTCAGCAGTAATTAGTGGAGTTGTAGCGTGTTTTACACTTGGTTAAGTGCGCTGTCTTTGCTTTTGTTCATCCCGGTAGACATGGGAAGTAGGTGATGCTGAGGTGTTCAGGTCATCTTTCAAACTACCCTGCCCATCCATGGCTGGGGCACAGTGGAAACTCCTCCTGTGGTTTCTGAAGCCGGTGTCTCATGTAGGCCCCTGGGAGGGGATGTCCCGGTACTGAAGTGTCTGGTGTGTGTCTGATCATTCCCGGCTTCTCTGGAGGAGGGTACCGCATACTTTCTTAGATGGCCTCTTCCACTGTACTGGCTGACCGGAATTGCCGTGTGCTTCGTATGCACGCACCACAGTGGGTGTATGAAGACTTGGTGTGAAGACGGACTAGAGAATGTTAACAACTTTCATATTTATTGCATATTGACATGGTAGTATTTTGAATAAAATTGACTACTAAAATGAACTCCAGCCATTCACTTTTTAATTTTCCTAACTATGGGCGCTATCGTTTTGCGGTGACATGGCTCATGCTTGTGGCTCACATTCTGTCTCTGTTGTACGGTGCTGTTCTAGTCTCATGAATGGGCGACAGAGGATCGCTCTGGCTTTCCTGTGCCTCTGCCAGCCTACTTGGTAATGTACAACCAGAAAAATGGTAACAGGCAAACAGGAGGGTGATGACGTGAGATCTCCACACCCTCTAGTTAGATAGATAGACCTCTCTCTCCTTCTTTATTTTTCCCTTCGTCCTTTCTTAAGATGGGGAAAAATGTTAATTTGCATCCTATTATTATTATTATTATTATTGATTTTAAAGGAAGAAAGGTTAAAACATATTTTGGGGTATCTTTGGCCTTTGGCCTTAGGGCTTGGTTGAGATTGCTTTCATCTCGAAAAGTTTTCTACTGCCCTGTATGAGCTGCTGTGTGTGGCTCAGGACCCTTGATGCCGCCTATCAGTTTACATACCTGTGCTGGTACTTGGTGACATACTACCAATTCTGTGCCCCTTTTGACCTCATAGGAAGACCTAGATACTTTCTGTGTTAGAATCTTAAAAAAAGATAAAAGGTAGAAATACTTGCCTCACTCTTGAACGGCAAGAGGCCGTGTTCCTCCCAATTGCACGCCCTAATAAATGAAGATTTTTTTGCTATAATGTCTCACATGTATTGTCTTTTTAGTAAACAATGGACATATGCCATTTGTTTGCTTAGGGGCTGTTTTTAGCTGTCTTTGACAGTCTCTCTGCCCAGCTCCCACTTTATAAATACATCCCCGTGACAAGTGGCTTGTCACGTAGATGTTGCCACTCTTGATGTTGTGTGACTATGAATGTGGCAGTTATGAGCACTGTGAAAAAAGCACTATCTGCACTCAGCCACATCTACAGCTCGGGCTTATGTCAACATTCCAGATTCATGTTAAGAAAGAATGCAGGGTGCTGGATAAACACGCCCATCTGGCTTTTATTACTAACTTTTGGCTACACCATTACCAGTTTCACCGTGATAGGAATAGATGCCGGGTAAATATTAACAGCCCCAGGCACAGGGTTGGATAGGTATCGTAGAAATATCAACTCATTTTAACAGGCACAGCCACCTTTGCGGCGGGAACTGTCATTTCCTTGTGTACCCGGTGCCGCACCCGGTGTTGGTTGGTGGGCAGTGTTTGACCTCAGTGGTTTGATGCTGTTTCATCCCGTTGTCTCAGGATTTTCTTCCCAGGGCAGTGCAGAGAGTACACTGAGACTCTGAAGACACTTAGGAGTAGGCCACAGCATTCTCATGATGTAATGTATTGCTATCGTGTGTTGGTGGCAAGAATCCTCTAGCATACACACACACACACACACACACACACACACACACACACACACACACACAATTATTTTACATGGTCTCTGTGTGTCAGAAAGTTGTGCAGACATGAGATGAATTCTTAGTTCGTGGCATGTGTCCAACCAAACAATTTGGTTAAAGGCTTTTTTTTTTTGCAAATTTTACAACATGTCGAGGCAGCCACACAACAGAAGAACCATTGCGTTAAGCAAGTGTGAGTTTTAGTTTTCTCTTGTACAGGAGTCTGAGGTTGGGCAGCCCAGGGGCTTCTGTCACCCTGGTCTCCTGGGATGTCTGTGTGGCATAGCCTGTGGTCTCACCCCTCAGTGTAGATGGCTGTTCTGTCCCAGGTCCTGTGCCTGTGTCAGCAGGAAAAAGGACACTTAGTATAAACACCCAGTGACAGCCAAGGCTCCCCTTTAAAAAGTTCCCCGTGAAACCCGTTCACGTCACGCGGGTCTCCATCTCCGTTGTCAGAATGGCGACGTGACCACTTTAGGCTGGAGAGGGAGCCGGCCACTGAAGATCGCTTTTTGTGTATGTGTGGTGCTGGGGATTGAACTTAGGGACTCACGCGTAGGCAAGGCACTCTACCACTGTTCCACACTTTCAGCCCCTAGTTGGGTACATTGTGGCCTTAAAACAGTTGGAGTATGGTCAGGAAGGAAGGAAGGAAGCCGAGGTATTGACAGGCAGTCTGAGTGTCTACCACATGGCATTGGACATGGAGTGTAGGCCTATGATCATAGCTGTACTTCAAGAAGGGCACACGCCAGTTTCCTACTGACTGGCCACAGGCCTGCTCTGCTGTAGAAACAGTGTCGTATTTTCATTCCTCTTGGGTATCCTCAGGTCAGAACCTTAAAATAGATGAGGTCTTTGTCCCTGAGCCTCATTTACATACTAGTTTTGTGACAGACTTCTGCCCCCAGTTGCATTTCTGCTTTCACACTCTTGGGCAATGGGTTCGAGAAGGAAGACTCTGCTTTGCCCAGTGTCCCTCTCCTTCTCTTGGCCATGATCAGCCGGAACTGGCGGCTCTCAGTCAGCGTGATTACTGAGTGAGGACCTGGCTAGCTCAGCACTCCTGCTGGAAGCCTTCCGCTGACCAGCGGACGGGGCACCCATGTTAGCGTCAGTCACTGTCTCCGTCTCCATGGGACAGTGACGGGGACTTTTCCCTTCCGAGGTCGAGCAGGTGGCATTGGAGGCCTTTGCCTGTCCTTTTTCTTTCCCTGCAATGCCCGATCAGACAGCGTATCCGCAACCTTAAAGGGTCTCACTGTGCGCTCATGGAGGGGCTGGTGGGTTTCACAGTGCAGGCCAGCTAGAAGGTGCCATCTCACACTGTTGGGCACGGCCACTCCTCCCTACAGTAGTACATGGGGGCCAGGTTTTTACAGTACTGGTTCCAGTTGAGGGCAGACCTTTTCTTTTGGCCTCCGTGATCACCGGAAAGGGGAGGTCTCAGGAGACGTAGGGTCATCATTTTACCGTAGGTCCAGAAACTTCTGCCCGTCGACTCCCTCTCTGGCTCTGTTCTGTTTCCTGAACTTCAGTAATTAAAGTTTCCTTAATCACCATGTCGGAAAAACATTAAATGAAGCGCTTACTATGCGGTAGATGCTGTTTCAAGAGCCCGCTGTAGACACACTCCTTTGAATCCTCCGAAAACCCAAGCGGAGAGGTAGGTGCCGTTGTTGGCCCATATTAAAGGGACGGAGGCAGGAGGAGAGTTTGCTCAGGGTCATGGATTTACAAGCAGTGTGTGCTTTGAAGCTCATCTCCATCCCTTCATCTCTGTGATGCCTCATGCCAGCCAGAGGAGCCGAGAGGCTGGCTGGGAGCGTGGGCACCGCAGTCAGCTCGGTCAGCATCCCAGTTATGCCTCTGACTGTGATCTTGTGTAAGTGCTCCATAAATTGCTATGCTGTGTATTTTTTTTATTGCTTCCTTCCCTTTATCCTATAGCTTCAGGTCATGAACTGTTCTCCGAGCAGTGAGGTCTCTCTCATAAGGCGGGCGGATTCTGGCCAGAGGGAAGCGCGGGTCTCTGCTGGGGAGGCTTCTCTGCCACTTGCCAACCAGCCAGAGAATTGGAGTGGCACCTGTAGCCCATCGGGAAGGTTCCCTGTGCACCTCTTGTTAATACGGGGCGAACAGTCAATCCACATTTCCCCTTTGCTCTGTGTGTGTATGTGAGTGCGTGCG